CTCATTTGCCTCGACTCCTTTTCCAACCACCCTAGCCTCATCTAAAAGTCTTTTCCCAAACTCATCGACTTCCTTTCTTTAAAATCCTCTTCAAATTTGAAAAGCATCGATCCCTTTTCTTCTTAACAACTCGATCTTGATTCAATCTTATCTATCTTCTACACCCTCAATCTACCTTGTACGAGATAACATCAGCTCTTTTGGTTTGAAACCACAACTACGATTCTTGTCCTTTCACTAACTCCTTTATTGCTGTCTATTCCCTTGTCTGAACTGTACTTGATCGTGTTGGTTATGATCTATTGAATAAAATTTCTTTCTTTCTTGTCTTGTACTCTCTTTAGTCATGTAGCCCTGGTTATCTTTCCAGCAATCAATTTCTTAACTTGTGATCCCTGATATAATAACTCCCGGTGTACACTAGAAGAAACCCCAGTAAAAATCAAAACCAATCTGTTCAACAGGCAAAACCAATCGCAAAACCCACAAGGCAAGAAAATGGAACTGTCGATCGTCATCAACCGGTTCAGCAATGTGCCTGAAGGAAGATCCGTTGTGGGAATGCGATGGGGTCAAACCCCTGCAAAAAGCTGGTGCCGTTCCCAGATCATTGCAATCTTCAGATCTGTAGGAACAGAAAAGTGGCATCAATCTGTACACAGCGGGACGGATCGAAGAAATCCCGACCGCCGTGCCGGCGCCCCGGCCGGAAGGGCGACCACATGACGCACCAGGGCGCCAGCGGGACCCGGGGTTGTACAGGCGCCCCGAGGCCGGTCAGGGCGGCGCTCTGGGTCAGCATGGTGTCACTGAGGCGTGATCGGGTCAACCCACAACAGGCACGTCCCGGTGGCGATTGGGGGGGTCGACTTGGGGTCGTCATCCTTGTGCCATGAGGATGACACCGACCGAGGCGCCATGAGACCAAGGGCGTCAGGGACGGTTTATGGTTGGGGCGGCGTCATCCTTGCGACCCGGGTCCCAGGTCAATCCTCTCGTTTTTCCCTCTCGAATAGCATCGGAAAGGATGGTGTTCACCTGGCACTTCAAAAAAAACTACTGCCAATTTTTTTTTTCTTTTTTCTCTTCAACTTCGCTTTTTTTTTTTTTTTGGATCAGAGCTCTCTCAGGGGGGAAACCTGGAACACGACTTCATAAATTCCATTCTCTGACAAGTCACACTGGTGGTCTGGTTAAGTCAACCATTCTGCCGATGGGGAGTCTGATACGAGTCCGATGCAAGTTCGAACCTCGTATGAGCAATCTTTTTTTCAGTCCTACATATGTACCCAGCCCGATCCGACCAGGCGGCCCAGAACTGGCGCCCCCATTCGCGTGTTGGCTACATCCCGACCTTGACTTTAGGGCGAGTCCCCTGGGCGCCATCAAGGGCATGCTCCAACACATGTCCCCATGGCGACCCTGGCCTGGTGGGCTACAATGGCGCCGTGGGTGGCGCCCGGCTGGCG